CAAACTATAAAACCGGTTTAACATCATTGCCCGGATTTATTGGGTATCAAAAAACCCAACATGGGACTCTTGATGGATCAACCTTGGATACAGCAGAGTACCATTTAGGGCTTCTCTGTGATGGGCCAAATGAGTAAGTCCTAAAAAAGACCAGAACATGCACTTGGGCTCATATCCGTCATAGCAGATGGTGCTGGTGAGACCTGTTGATGTTCATACTTCTGCTCTGGGTGATGCCTGGAATTCCTTCTCCCATGCCCTCAGTTAGCCCATGCATAAATGATTATATTTACGTCTTATGCACTACCCTTTGACTCGCCAACATCCACCTCCACAATCTGATGCACTCTTCAAGGCCTCTATCAAAATCCGACATACATAAAAATCAAGTGACCATCATTCAGAATTTTTTACAGTGGGCACACTTCGAAAGGTGAAGTAAGAAACACACACTTATCTCAATTACCATGTCTGTGGGATCATGCCTATTACTATGAGAGTGGGATCATGCACCACTGCGTAAATTATGCTTCAGTCACTTCAATCCATGCCTCTTGGTCGAATATAGTCTGGGAAGATTGATTGAAGCCAATTCACGACAGTTTCCTACGAGATTAACAGAAGACGAAAGGGAAATCAACCAAGAAAATGGCGAGAAGAATTCATTGAGCAGGTATTCATTATGTCCCTATATAATTGCTGATTTCACATACCCGTTTTCCAAAATCTCATTATCCATGTGATGAGAACCTAGGTAGCAAAATGCTGAATACAATACATCCATGTATTTACTGCTCTTCCTCGTCATGTGTAAATTTAGAATAAATGTAAATGACTCAAGTTTGAACTTTTGACTTGTAACATTTTATACATATGTTCAGATTCATTGAAAGGAATGGTAGTACAAATTATATAATAGAATTTCACAGAAACTGTTCAATATTTGACATAGGTATAATACAATTTCTTATTGAATATTATATATAAAATATAAAGCTACTATTATGTAATTTTATAATACCTTCAAATGTCTCTGTTCAAACCTCAGCTGCTCGAGAAGTTGGACTAGACTCTCTTCTGATTTGAAGTGTATTCTAGAGGAAGGGAAAATCATAGATCCAAATATGTCGAAATGCACTGAGGCCGAAGCAATTTATTGACTGAAAATAGGGGGGCAGCAGTTATTCATGTGCCTTTCGTGACGAAATGGTGAATATAATCCATGTGTTTGCAGCTCTTCCTTGTTATGGACTGTGAGCTATATGAAAATGTAATAGTGGCTCAAGTGTCTGAATATAAATTTTGGGATCACAAGCTAAACACAAACATAGTATTTTTGTAGAAACGTAGATTAGTCACCCAAAAAAAGATCGTAATTACTACAGAAATCTTGAAAATCTTCATCGACAATCTTTAACATAAAAAAATGATTAATATTACATTACATACAACGAAGAAGAACTGAAATTAGATGAATCATTAACTAAACCAAAATGTACGACATGATTTACAAAAATCAATGAAAATATCCAACGTTCTAACACACTTTGGTTAATCCAGTCAAAATGTAGTTGAACTTGTTTAACAACCCCATTCTCTGTCCGTTGAAATAACTCTTTCTTAATTCCATAAAAGTTTGCATAGTGAGCAGACTGTCAGAACCCGCCTGGTGACTTTTTCCGGCCATTCTTTCAATCTTTAAACTCGTCGCAACCTGCTCGAGGCCACCATACAGCCCACAAAACCCAATCATCTGCTTCATGTCATAGACCGTAATCCCAAAATGCACTCTGATCAACATCATAAAATCCGAAAGATTGTGAGGCAATTCTCTTTGAATCAAAATCTTGACCAAGAAACCGAAATCATACGTGCCATGGAACGTCACCAATGTCCTTGTATTCCTATCTAACCATAAAGGATCAAGACGAAAGGATAGTCCAGATAGCATGAAAAGCCGTGCGAATTGACGTGAACAGATTCCCCTTCGCTTGTTCTTCAAGAAATCAATTCCTTGGCGCTTCAACAAATCAATTGATTGGGCGTTGTGGAGATCATTATCAACATCGAAATCCCGGAAATTAAATTCCCATATGTAGCAGAATTCGGTCCCAAGATTCGGGAGGTTTCCTTGCCCGTCCGATAGAGTAAGACCGAATTGAATGATTTTCAAAGCATCAACGTTTTTTTTCATCAACAAGTAACATTCCGAGGGAGAAAGTAAAGAGTAATGCTTATCTGAATGGTAAACCACCCCCGGAAACTCAATATCCATAGATACATAGGGATATCGGGCAAGAACGCTTTGAATAATTCTGAATTCTTGTTCCAAATTCTCCTGCCAAACCTCTCGAATTCTTACTGGTTTTTCTGTTTTCTTGTGATTTTCTTGCCAAACCGTACGCACTCCAATCCGTGGTGCCACTGCTATGTGTTTATTCAACCAAACATCTTGCATTCTAATCGGTATTGCCATTGTTCTGTGATCAGTCGATAAGAAAAAGTGGTATTTAGGGTTTATACAATTTGAAAGTGGGATGGAATAAGGAAAGTATTTTCAGGTTTTGTAATCGGCCAAATGCAAAAGTGGGTTAATATAATTTGACACTTTGGTTTCATTAAGGAAGTTTTGTTATTACAGGTTTTTTAACGTTTGGAGTTTGGATTGAATAAGGAAAGTTTCCATATAATATACATTCAGACAGTTCGCCAAGAAAATATTTAACGGCTTTATTTCTGTGATAATTGCATAAACCTCCCTAATCTATATTTTCTCTGCTATTAGATCCTCAACCTTTATTTTAGTACCTATACTATCTGGCCTTCACTTTTACATTACGTCACTATTTGGTTTAGCTAAAATAAGTTAATAAAAATTTAAGTTAAAAGTTAATAATTGATTTTAAACATACATTTTATAGGATTCATAATTTTTGTTAACTCTTCAATTATATTTTATCAATTTTTATCAAAATGTACTAAAAAATATAATCATAAATTTATAAATAATAGCGACAATTTTGAAAATTGATTGCTGGAATATTAAAGTATCTCCTCTTACTAACAATCACACTAACTCCATTCAATAGTTTGACAAAATCAGACTCAATTTTTATTTATGGGTTATTAGCACAAAACGTTCATATGTATGAAGTTCATTATGCAAAACGTCTCAATGTTGCATTTTTTTGTCATTTTCACTCTTATTTGCATCTTTCATTGCAAAAATCATTATTTTCTTCTAATTTCTAAATAAAAACCATGAAATGACAATTATACCCTTCCATTTAAATAAAACAAAAATAAAATAAAAGAGAAATAAAGAACCAATTGCAAACATACTTCAAATTTTTTTAAAAAAAATGCAAATGGGTTCCAATTAAATTAATAAAAAATAAAAAACAAGAAAAAAAATTAAATTGGGTTATTAGCACAAAATGTCCCAACTTTACTTTTTTTTTTTTGCATTTTCATATATATTTACACCTTTCATTACAGAAATCATCATTTTCATCTAATTTCTAAATAAAAAGTTGTGAAATGACGAATATATCATTTTATTTAAATAAAACAAAAATAAAAGAAAAGAAAAGAAAAATAAAGAACTAATTGCAACCTCCCAACATTTTTAAAAAGTGCAAATGGGTCTCATTTAAATTATAAAAAAATTAAGAAGATCATCTTCTTCCTTGTCCCCAACCCCCATCCTTACCTCTTAACATTTTAATGCACAGAAAATAGTACGTAATAATAACAAAGGTTCTTCAGCTCGCAGAATTCACATTTACGTAAAAAGAAGCAATGCAGAAATCAAGAAACACCGATAAATTCTTGAAGATGATGAATATTCAATGAGTTAACAGAATGCAAATTTAACATCCCTTATCATAATGCTCATACCGAGGTATAGCCTAAATGTAAGAAATGGTACACTTCCCTAAGAAACAACAAAATAGCCTTTCTATTCACCCCCCAACTTCCTATATAAACCATCTAGTGCTCAACTATCTACTCAGGTCTCCAACCAGTTCTCATCTAAATATCCAGCTTTGTAAATACACACGCTAAATTAAGGATGCCGACCGCCTGGAGGATGTTGTTAGTTTTTTCTTCACGTGAAGATCGGTAATTCGGTAACAAACCGAATCTGGATGTGGTCTACATTTTTCACCTCTTAGGGATGTGAGTAATGTTCAAAATCACGTCTCAACTGCCTTCCCCATGTTTGTGCTCAGTTGAGAACAGCTCTGTGATGAACAGAGCCTATATATATATATATATATATTCAGTTTTTCCACCGGTTGGATCCCTAAGCCTTTCAATCTCCTATAGTAAAAAATGCGCCATCTAATTGAGGTTGAGTGAGGTTTAGAAGCATCTAAATCAAAAAATAAATCATTCTCTTAACTTTTAAGTGTGTGTGAAAAGCAATGGTGGGAGGTACGTTTTTCCGGTTCCGTTTCATTCGGCATTTGATCTATATGCATTGTAAATCATTGAAGCATGTTTAGGTCATTTAGATTTTGCTTACTACTGGTATCAGAGACTTGTTTACCACTGCTTTGTTCGTTTTCTCTCTGCAAAAAAATAAAATAAAATAATAATAATAATAAATGAAGTATTTATGTAATTTTTTCCTTAGATTTCAAATCTTTGTTTCATACGTTTTTGATGAAAAATAAGGTTATGAATCATTAGGAAATTGGATTTCTAACATTTTTGGGATTTGAAATGTAATTTTTAGTGTCTGGAAGGCGAAGAAACCGTAGGGTTTCTATTCGGGTCGCAACCTGGTCAAATAGACCCGGCTCTAGGTTGAAGACTTGTTAAAAAAAAACTTTTAGAAACATGCAGACAGCCGAATATGTGCTAAAATTATTTTATTTTTGTTGTTTTGTATGAATAATTTTTTTTGCTTTGTTATACATGCAATATTGAGTTAAATAATTTAGTACATTAAAATTTAAATTTATGTGTTCATATTGCCTATGGTTTTGTGCAATTTATATGAGCATATTTTGTGAATTAAATTAAATGTTGAGTGATCCATATAATTGTAATTAATTGGGGAGTAGAAACATCAACTTTAATTATGCAAGATTATATATTAATTGTTTTAGGATCACATTATGACATTAATTGTGGTTAGTCATATTGAATATAATAGATTTTATCCCATAGGAATTTTTATTATATTAGTATGATCAATCAGGATAAAATATTAAATTATTTTCCTAATTACCCACATGAATTAGGAATTGAAATGTGATTTTATAGTTTTATCATAAGGTTTATACATGAATCTACTTGAGTAAGACTTTGGCCCACATGCAAATTTCATGTCACCAGATTCATATTTTTTAAAGCATGATTTTACATTGGTAAAGCATGATTTATGTTTGTTAGTCTCAATTTAAATTGTAAGCATGTATGTATAATTTTTATGCAGTTATGAAACTTGTGAATTACTCTGATATTAAATGTGATATTCCCGAACTAAAGGGTGATAACTATAAAGTTTGGAATGAGAGGATTCTCCTTCATTTAGGGTGGATGGATATTGATTATGCCATTAGGAAAGACGAACCAAAAATCACTACAACCAGCACTCCATATGAAATTGCTGTTTATAAAACAATGAGAGCGATCCAATCGCCTCAGTATGATGTTCGTAAAGACCAAGATTTCTATTGGTATCCGTGGTTCCGTCAAAGAGCATAAAAATGTCAAGGCATTGCTGAAGGCGTTTGATGAGCAGTTTGAGACTTCACATAAAGCACTTGTTAGCACCCTGATTATGAAACGTTTTCATCCATGAGGATCACTACTGTGAGAGGTGTGCGTGAGCACATCATGCAAATGAGGGACATTGCGGCTCAATTAAAGACTCTTGAGTTTGATATGTCTGAGTATTTTCTTGTGCACTTATTTTGAACACTCTTCCACATCAATATGGACCCTTCAAGATATCCTATAACACGCATAAAGATAAGTGGTCAATTAATGAACTTCTGGCCATGTGTGTTTAGGAAGAAGGGAGATTGACAATGGAAATGGGTGAAAGTGCATTGATGGCAACGTAAGGAAATGACGAAAACCAAGCCAAAAATAAAAGAAAAGGTAAAATACCGCTTCAAGGTGGATCAAAAAGGAATCCAAGTGCTTCTTCTGCAAAAAGAAGGGACACATGAAGAAGGATTACACAAAATTCCAGAAATGGCTTGAGAAGAAAGGTAAACAAATCTCATTTGTCTGTTATGAATCTAAAATGGTTGATGTTATTTATAACATATGGTGGATTTATTCTAGTTTTACAATCCATATTTCGAATACCTTGTAGGGTATGAGAAACCTAAGGAAATCAGTGGAAAGTGAGCAATGTATTTATTCAGAAAAAAAGATGCGTTCACATGTGGAGGCTGTTGGAGCATGCAGTTTGGTTTTAAGCAATTGTTTTATTTTGAATTTAGAAAAGACATTTTATATTCTAAGTTTTTCTAGGAACTTGATTTCAATTTCAAGACTTGTACCTTTGGGTTATTCCTTTAATTTTTCAGAAACATCTTTCAGTTTATTTTATAAATCTGATCTTGTTGGGTATGGTACATTGTTTGATAGTCTTTTTTCTATTAATTTGCAAAATAATACTACTTATAATGCTGTGCATGTTCACATTGGTATGAAACTATGTGTTATGATTAAAGATTCCTCTATATTGTGGCACCAGAGATTGTGACATATCTCTATCGAAAGGATTAAGAGATTAGTAAATGATGGAGTACTTAGTATCTTGGATTTTACTGATTTCGACACTTATGTGGATCGTATTAAGAGAAAGCTGACCAACAAGTCCAAGAAAGATGCTAAAATGAGTACATACATATTAGAGATCATACATTCAGATATTTGTAGTCTAGACATGGACTTGTGTGGTCTAAAATACTTCATCTCTTACATTGATGATTATTCACGATATATGTATATCTACTTATTTCATAACAAGAACGAAGCACTAAATGCCTTTAAAGTTTTTAAGGCCGAAGTAGAGAAACAATGTGGAAAGCATATTAAGATCGTGAGAATAGATATATGTGGAGAATATTATGGTCGATACATCGAGGATGAACAAGCACCTGGTCCATTTGCGAAGTTTCTTCAAGAGCACGAGATAGTTGCCCAATATACCATGCCTGGTTCCCCGAACCAAAATGGTGTAGCAGAAAGAAGAAACCAAGCTTTAATGGGCATGGTGAGGAGTATGCGAAGTAACTTCAAACTTCCTAAATCCTTGTGGACTGAAGTTCTTAAAACGGTAGTGTATATATTAAACTGAGTTCCAACCAAGGCTATCCCAAAGACACCATTTGAATTATTGAAATGTTGGAAATCGAGTTTGCAACATATACGCGTTTGGGGATGCCCGTCTGAAGTAAGAGTTTACAATCCATAAGAAAAGAAGCTAGACCCAACGACCAT